CATGTACTCGCTCTCTCTCATTCTCTCTCTCTCAAATAAATAAATAAAATCTTTAAAAAAAAAATGCTCTTCACTGACTATATATTCCACTTTGATGTAATTTTGTAAATTAAATCAGATGCAAAAAATGTATTTTAAAATAAATATATCATTTTAAAGGGAGAGTTGGCATTTATATCTGGGGCTCTGGTTAATTAATGAATTAATTTATATCTAGTATTTTAATATCTATAATAGTTGCCATGGTATTTATTTGATTGATTGTCTTTAAGTCAATCTCCTTCATCAATTCAGCATTTCTAATAGGTTCTATTAACACATAGATTTATAGCAATTAAGATTTACTGATTAAGTTGTTTACTTAATACAATAAGGCCTTTAAGTGATATTTCCTTTCATTCCCAGTATTGTGCATTTTTCGATATATTAAACTCTCTAACATGGATTAATAACTTGATTTTTAAATTTGAAATATGTATCAGAGAATAGTATATATTATATACACATCATATACATATATATGAAAGTGTGCTCTTTTCTCTGTCTTTGGGATAGAACAAACATGTTTACCAAAAAACAAAAACAAAGCAAAATTAACAAAAACTAATTTATCATTAGTAGGGCAATAATATATACGGCCAGGTTGCTAAGCATCCAGAATTATTTATAACATACAATACTAATGACAAGTCTTTAAGGAAAATAATATTGTGACTTCATAACCAATTGTGAGTTGTAACAAAGCTGCCAAAATAAATACATACCACGAAGCACTGTGGTTACATAATGCACCTAAAATTAATGTATAGATATTAACTAATTCATATATACACATATAAAAACACGTGTGTATATTTTCTGCTATTCTGCAAAAAAGATTTCTTTGTTTCCCTACTATTCTCCCTACCATGTTATAGAAGTGAATTGTACACAGTATTCAGAATATTCTTGAAAGAACATAAATCAAATAGATTCTGACACTCTTTTGCTGAAAGCCCTTCAAAGATCGATTCTCACACTTAGCGTAAAATAAAAATTGGTTAGTCAGTGTATTAATTTGCTAGGGCTTCTGTAACAAAGTACCAAAGACCTGGGAGGCTTAAACAAAAGACATTTCTCATATTTCTGGAGACTTCGGAAATCCAAGATCAAAATATCAGCACGATGAGGCCTTTCTCCTTAGCTTCTAGATGACTATCTTCATGTTCACATGATGTTTTCCCTCTTGGTGTATCTGTGTCCTAATTTCTTCTTCTTTTAAGGATACTAGTTATATTGGATTAAAGTCTACCTTAATGACTTCATTTTAACCTAATTACCTCTGTAAGACCCTATCTTCAAATACATTCACATTGTGATGTGCTAGGGGTTAAAACTTCAACCTATCAATTTGGGGTAACACATTTCAGCCCTTATAGCGAGGACACAAAGGTCTACATCATCTAACTACTCTCTTCCTGGGACATTTTGTCTCTGTCAAAAGAAAATTCGGAGAGTTTTCCTTGAGCTGTTCATGAATAGGGAGACATCAAACAGGAAACTCTGGTTTGCAGTCTGGAAGCATGATGTTATAGGGTGGCGTACAAAGTGGAAATGAGGAAGTTGTTTAACCTCTGCAATTATTGTTTATTAAAAAATGTGCATTTCCAAATGGCAGAGAAATGGTTAAAAGTGATTATTTTATACCATTTTAGTTGTGACTCATGTTTCATTTATGATTTTCAGAGCCATTTACAAGAAATAATTTAATTTTGATTATGTTTATGAACTAAGGTAGACTAAGTTTATCTTATGTGGCTTAAATGGTTTTGTCTTCCTGAGGGATCTTCAAGCCTGGTCTTCATTTTATTTTATTTTAACATCCTCTATGCACTCTGGTCTAGGCACAGACAGCCTAAATATGTTCACAGTTTTTCAAGTACTCAAATCTATTCTACCTTGACACCATTTCCTCTGCCATAAAGCTATTCACAGTGATTTCGACTTTGCAAGACTTGCTTCTTTCCTAACATTTCAATTTAAATGTCATCTCCTAAGATAGATCTTTGATAATAACAACAAAAGTAGAAATCACTGTATACCATAATGCTACTTTAATTTTCTTTATAACCCTTTTTGCTATCTAAATTTTCTTTTTTAGTTATGTGTTAAATTTACGTCTCTCAGTTGAATATAAGGAGAGAGAATGTGTGTGTGTGTGAGAGAGAGAGAGAGAGAGAGGGAATTCTTTTCTCATGTTCATAACTGAATTCTCAGTGAATAGAGAAATCCCTGTCAGGTAGAAGGTAGACAGTAAATACTTATTTATTTTATGACTTGAATGAATATATTAATGAATCAATGTAATTAAAATAGCTCACCTTTTTTGTACTTCTAGGTAGGAAAGGGGAGCTATAAAATGGGTGTTATAAAGTTATTGGGAAGATAATAATGCTAACATTTCTCAATACTCATTTGCTTAATCAGTATGCAGGGTTTTTCTACTACGATAGACTTTATGTATACAATGATTGAGACAGAGCCCTCTCAAATTTCTTACACAAAAAGCACTATAAGATAAGTCATAGGTTTACTTTTTAACAAAGAAATTGGACACACGGTTCTATGAGATGATGAGAAATGACTATTCTCACAATGAAGCAAGTGCCAGGCAAATTTTCTGGCAACTCTTTGATTCTTGGATACTTTCAATGTGTGTTCCATGGTTCTAGCTTAGAAAGTGTTGGAGTGGTCACAGGAATATTCAGAATAATGTTTGATCAAATATCTGGGCACTGTGGCCCAGCCAAATTAGCACATATAGTTAACCACAAGCCAGAAAGCCAAGGAATCCAGGCAGCTTCTAGAGGATGGAAAAATAAGGAACCCCTAGAATCTCTAGGGAGAATGTAGCCCTTTTAAAAACCTTGATTTTAGCTAGTAAGAACATTTTAGACCTCTGATTTCCAGAACTCTAGAACTGTATGACAACATTTTTTTTTTAATTTTATTTATTTATTTGACAGAGAGAGAGGGAACACAAGCAGGGGGAGTGGGAGAGGGAGAAGCAGGCTTCCCGCTGAGCAGGGAGCCCAATGCAGGGCTCCATCCCAGGACCTTGGGATCATGATCTGAACCGAAGGCAGACCCTTAACGACTGAGCCACCCAGGTGCCCCTACAACATGTTTTGTTTGTTTTAAGCCACTATGTTTCCCAGATGTATTTAGGGAAAACCTGGAAACCTGCTTTGTAACAACTGGAAGTTCTCAAAGCAAGTTTTCTTTTTCTTTCTCTCTGTCTCTGTCTCTCTATCAGGTAGGTTTGGAAAATGCCTAAGCAGACAATTTTCTACAAGTCTTGTCCTTACCTTTAACCTCTAATATGTTTTGGGAATCTCTCAGTCAGAGTTATGATATGCATCCTGTTTAAAATTATTTAAAAAATTATTTAATGGGGCGCCTGGGTGGCTCAGTCATTAAGCGTCTGCCTTCGGCTCAGGTCATGATCCCAGGGTGCTGGGATCAAGCCCCACATCGGGCTCCCTGCTCCGCGGGAAGCCTGCTTCTCTCTCTCCTACTCTGCCTGCTTGTGTTCCTTCTCTCGCTGTGTCTCTGTCAAATAAAAAAAAAAAAAATTATTTAACTAGGAAACATTTTTTTTTCTCTCCCCCATGACTTTTGCAACAAATCTAAGAAATACACATTGCAATATTCTTCATAAAATTTAGTGGTGGTGTGACTTTTTCTAGGACATTTCATGACTGAGATCTAAATATTATTAAATAAAATAATAAAATGGATCTTGCCATTTCTTTCTATTTATTTCACCAACTATTTTAAAATAATGGATGATACAATAAATAGCTTGCAATATCTAATATCAAAAAATTTGAAAATTCTTTGATTTTTTTTTTCATTCCATAGTTCAACCGAAACAAGCAAAAGGAGAAATTTACTTGCTTATTATAACTTTCCAATGTATAATCCAATGATGTTAGGACTATTTTTCATGTTATTAAAAGTGAATTGTTCACGGTACTATTATTCTAAATGTGATAATTTTTTATTATTTATAGTTATCACAAGAAAATTTTATTTTTTAAACTTCAGATAAAAATTAAATTTGACTTATACCTGAAAATGCTCAATTTGTATAATTTAATTTACAATTATGTAAATCAATCTTATGTTTTCAACCTTACACATAGTTATACAGAGCAAAGAAGCAATTGAAGAACAAAAAGATTACTTAGGAAAAAAATGCCCATTTTAATTAATTAATAAAATCAAGTTTTTGGGCGCCTGGGTGGCTCAGCTGGTTAAGCAACTGCCTTCGGCTCAGGTCATGATCCTGGAGTCCCGGGATCGAGTCCCGCATCGGACTCCCTGCTCAGCTGGGAGTCTGCTTCTCCCTCTGATCCTCCCCCTCTCATGCTCTCTGCCTCCCATTCTCTCTCTCAGATAAATAAATAAAAAATCTTTAAAAAAAAAATAAAATCAAGTTTTTTAAAGTCATCTAATTGTGCTATTTTTGTTTTCAAATTAATTACATATTGGGTAGAATGAATTATTCATATGCTTTTTCACACTACTCTAAGAAACAAAGGGTTTTTCATTTATTACATTTTTTCTATTTACAAGAGAAAAAAAATCTTTTGGAAAGAAGATACCATTGGTTTTTGGGTCTTCCTTACTATAAATATGTATTAACACCAAAACCTATGAAAATATGACAGCACTTGTTTTTTGTTGTGCTGGTAAATGTTGCTACATCTTCCAGGGTTTCAGAAGGATACATTGTTTCAATGATCAGTAGTAGATATTTATTTATTTATTTATTTTTATTTATTTATTTTTTGAAGTCTGATCTTATTTATTTATCATTCTTAGAAAATCTCATTTTTGACTGGACTCAGACTTAGAGGTAGAAGCTCTCAGAGAGGATAGTCTCCGTCTCTTGGCAATCTGTTCCTGGCATTTTTCTTTGGCCTCCTTCATTCTCTTGGCCAAAAGTTTAGCATATTCTGCAGCCTTTTCCTTATTTTCCTGAGTGTGCTGCTTCTTCAAGGCAATACGCCAACATTTGTGCTGGAGGACACGTGGAGTAACAAGATGCTGAATCTTAGGCGCCTTGGGTCTAGGTTTCTTGCCTTCTTTGTTTAGGGGCTTTCTCACAACATACTGGCGGACATCATCTTCTTTAGAGAGATTGAAAAGTTTGCGGATTCTGCTGGCTCTTTTGGGCCCCAGGCGACAAAGCACAGGAGTATCTGTGAGTTCAGGAATATCCTTCTCCCCTTTTTTTACAATGACCAACTTGAGAACACTGAGATTGGCATCCACAATGCAACCCTGAACAGATTTGTGCTCTCTCTCTCCAGTCCTCCTTGGTCTATAGCAGGAATACCCCTTACTCAGCAGCAGGCGGACACGGTCATGGGTCGAGACACCCTGCCCCATGGGGAAGCCTTGTTTGTCATTGCCACCACTGATTCGGACCACATAATCCTTCCATTCTTCACCCAGAGCATCAGCAGCAACTTCTGTGGCCATACACTTCTCATAAAAGGTACGAAGTTTGTGTTCATCGTCCACTTCAATGAGTTTCTGGCAGCCAGTAGCTGGGAAAGAGATGTTCAGCTGAATCCTGAAGCAGCCTACCGCCTCTGAGGTGCCATGACAAAGAGCAATAGTAGATATTTAAATTTATACAAATATTTTGTTATAAAGCTTTAAGGCAGATCTTTTTCCTCTCCAAGCTGATGTATCAATGATCTGGCCCTCCCCAAATAGACAATAGTTCTCTCAGAATTTTTTAACCATAGTTTTTATTTGATCATTCATAACCCACTCACCCTCCCATTTATCACAGAGTGTAACATTTCAGCTTGTATTGAAATTGAATTTTAATGTCTATTTTATTTATCCAACTAGATATTATGCTTGATATTAAATTACTGTAGCATAAAGCTTGGCCATTCTGTGCATGTATCTCTGGAATAACTTTAGCTAAATAACATGTATATATTTGGTGCAAGTTAAGTATTTATTAATTTAATTTGCCAAGTCCAACAATCACCATTCATTTCTATTTTAGCTTTATTTTCCTCCACCATTTTGCTGAGTAGTCATATTTCCAAAAGTGGAACATGAGAACTCCCAGAGGTGCATGTTAGGGTGAGTTTAATGTGCTGAGTCACAGGATAAATATGGTCCAGTTAGTTCTTTTTGAAAGTTTGAGGAAAATTCCAAAATATGAGTAAAATATTTTTCATATTTAAACAAATATGCACATAATTTGGGATAGAATACAACTCAAGAAGTGTTGCATGTGTAATTGATCATCTTCAGACTCAATCTACTCACAAAAGTAATTTTCTCTATCATTAAGGACACCATACAATGTGAAACTTCCTGCTCCCTTCCCATACCTTACTGTTGGTTCTGTTGCCTCTTACATTATTTTGGGAGTGTCAATTTTTATTCTCAATATATTTTCCTCGTCTATCTTTTAGGTCCTGTTACTATCACTGTCATCCTCAGTACTTTGTGATAATTTGATCAATTCAAATAAATTCAACTTTTGGAGGGTACTCTTAAAGTTGATATAATCTTGGTTGTATGTAGGAAGGCCTAGCATACAGATCAAATGTAGAGTGAGTCTAGTTGATGGAATACATTCTTTTCACCTTGCTTTTAAAGCGAATTCACAAGATTGATTTTTAATGTCTATTTTATCTACCTTGGGTCTTTAGGTGTTAGTTGGTGTATCCTGAGAAGTGAGTTTGCATATCACATTATAGAATTAATTTGTAGTTTTCTAGTTTGTCTCCTGAACTAAAGAGCAGATATTGTTAGTACTGAAATGGGATCACAGACATATTTGTTACCCAGGGTAACACATTAAGTACCAATAAGTTACATACTGTTTCTAGTCAATGATTATTTATTGAGCAAAATGGATTTATTTCCCCTTACAGCAGAATCTAACAAAAAAATTTTGAAATAGTGAGCAAATATCACTTTTCCAGGGGCTAGACATTTTTGGTTTTTTTGTTTGTTTTAAAGATTTTATTTTATTTATTTCAGAGGACATAGAGCACGAGCAGGGTGGAGGGGTAGAGGGAGAGGGAGAAGCAGAGTCCCTAGTGAGCTGGGAGCTGGATGCAGGGCTCCATCCCAGGACCCTGAGATCATGACCTGGGCCAAAGGCAGCTACTTAACTCACTAACCCACCCAGCATCCCCCAGGGGCTAGAGGTTTTGTTAATGACATTTTCCTCTCCTTAATTTGTAATTGCTTTTACATTTCTCAGGGTCTTGAAATGGGCTTGCAGCAGTCTCTGCGCTCAGTGCAGAGTCTGCTTCTCTCCTTCTTCCTCCTATCCCTCTGCCCCACCCCTGCTCATGCTCGCTCTCTCTCCCTCTAAAATAAATAAATAAATCTTAAAAAAAAGAGAGAGAGAGAAAGTGATGGAATGGAAAAATATATCCCATGCAATTGGAAAAAAGAAAAAAAGGCTGGGGTAGCAATATTTATATCAGACAAAATAGACTTTAAAACAAAGAATGTAACAAAAGACAAAGAAGGACATTACATAATGATAAAGTGATCATCCAACAAAAGGATATAACTATGGTGTTCTATTATCGTGAAATTCAGGCTAGTTGTTGCAGGTCCTGATTATATTATTTTCCACTATACTTCTCATGAGTAGTTGGCAAATATAAACTTTGTGAACATGCCAGAGGAGAGTTAGGAATTGAAGTGAGTCCTGCAGTTATTGTTTTGAACTGTTTTTACTATAGGGCATAAAAGGACTAATATGAAAATTCAGATATGTGAAGGCATATTCGTGAATTATATATTTGTAATTCCTGCGGATTGTTGAAGAAATCCTGAAGACTATATATAGTAGTTGCCTTTCTTTTGTTTTCCTCCCTCAAACTTACCATAGCTTTGGGATGTCCTCTGCGTGGGGAAGACTTTTTCCACAATATTTTTTAAATGAAAACAACTAAAAGTCTTGCCTTATTTATCCATCTACCTTTTTGTCCCCTTTCTATCTCTCCAAGCTATGTATCACCAGTGATCATGAAGCCCCCCTCCTTTTTTTAGAGAAGTAAGTTTCAGTATTATATTTTAAATTATAGGCAACTCTGCCTTTGTAACACAGCATGCCATGCAGTGTGTCCTCTTGGGTCAGAATCTTTATGGGGAAAGGCTACTTACTGAAAGGAAAGAAATAACATTTTTACTGTTGATATCAATTCAACTTTTCACCATATAAGATATATGATGTAAAGTTTCAAGAGCATTATTTCACACTTTAAAATCAGACATGAAAATAAGAGTAAGAAAATGTGACTTCAATTTCCATGCCCTATAAAAATGATTGCGAATGGAAAAGAAGTGTAATGAAGTATAGTGTCATAATCTTTTTAAATGGACAGGTCAATATTTTTTAGTTCTCCTAAAGGCAGAGCTTATCATGTCAAAAAAGCCTTAGAGTTCCACAAAGTGATTCCCATGCACTAATTATGTTCCTTTTATATAAGCCCTAATTATGCAGGCAGAAAGAGTGTTTTGTAGTTAAGTTGTGGAAAAACATACTGATTAATATAAAAAATGTTCTTTTCACTGCATGAAAGGACAATTGATTTGATTACATACAAAATTGTTTACAATGAAGGAAATTGTAGAGAGGTGATATACTGGATAAAATACTTGCAATGTCTAAAAGAGATAGGGGATAATAGAATATTCCAAGAAATCTTTTAAGACAAGAAAATGAAATCCCAAGAGAAATACAGTCAACATATGAGAATGCAAAAATCACTAAAGAGGAAATCTGAAGTGCAAGTAATTATAATGAAGAGATGCTCAAACTCACTAGCAGTCAGAGATGCTCAAATTACAAAAAAATGTTAATTTATAAGAATTAGCATGGCAAAAATTAGATAATAAACATTTTGGTTTGGAGATGAAAAATAAGAACTCATTCCTGGTGAAGTAGACAATAAGAGCTATTTTGGAAAGAAATATGGCACTTTTCATTATATTATACATATCCTGTGATCTCATTACTGGGTTCTATACCATTGAAATTTATACACAAATATTTTACAGAACATGTAATTTTGTAGTAATGAGGAGACAGGGGAAGTTTAGAGATCATCGTTTGACAACTGATAAAATATGGTAGGGCGCCTGGGTAGCTCAGTCGGTTAAGCGACTGCCTTCGGCTCAGGTCATGATCCTGGAGTCCCGGGATGGAGTCCCGCATCGGGCTCCCTGCTCGGCAGGGAGTCTGCTTCTCCCTCTGACCCTCCCCCCTCTGATGTGCTCTCTCTCTATCTCATTCTCTCTCAAATAAATAAATAAAATCTTTAAAAAAAAATATGGTAGATGCTACCATAGAATACTATGGTATGTGTTATAACCATCAAACATATGTAACTAAAACAGCATGCATATATCTCAGAAATATAGTATTGAGAACCAAGTAAGTATAATGGGGTTGTAGAATGCCTGTATCTTTCCTAGAATGATGATGGAAATGTAAAATAGTACAGTCACTCTGGGAAACAGTTTGGCAGTTTCTTATAAAGTTAAAGATACACTATACAGCAATTACACTGTAGGTATTTATCCTCGAGAAATTAAAACTTTCATGTTTAGCAAAAATTTGTACACAAATGTTCATAGCAGTTTTATTTCTAATAGCCAAAAAAAAAAAACACATAAATTTTCTTCAACAGGTGAATAAACTGTGACATATCTATATAATGGAATAGAACTGAGCAGAATTCACCAATAAAAAGGAACAAAATAATTATTCACACATTGATTTTGTGAATCTCAAGGATGTTATATTGAACAAAAATACCAATCTGAAAAAGTTACATATTGCTTTGTTCCTGTTCTATAACTTTTTTCAATTTGCAAAATTACAGTCATAGAGAACAGATTAGTTAGTATTTGACAGAGCTTAAGGTTGGGGATGGATAGGGCTATAAAAGGAGAACAAAAGAGAGTTTATTTGTGATTATTGAACAGTTTTGTAATCTGACAGTTATACATGAATCTATACATGTGAAATTTCATGTAACTATACAGAATAAAAGAATGCAAGCAAACCTGGTAAAATCTGAATAAGGTGTCTAGTTTTGTTAATAGTTTCAAAATGTCAAATTCCTGGGGTTTTTTTTTGTTTTTCTTTTTTAAGATGATACTGTTGGGGAAGATAAAGGGCACAGACAAACTCTCCAGTATTTTTACCATTTATTTTGAGTCCAAAGTTATTTTTTAAAAAGGAATTTAAAAATAAAGTAAAATATACATTTGGGAATTAATAGTATTATGTTAAATTTACAAATTTACAAATCAATTTCAGGAGAGTTGATATATTTATATTACCTTAATTTCTTTCAAACAGGAACATAGTATCCTAATATTTCTTTACATTTATCCATTTACTCAAGTCCCTTTTCTGTACTGTTCAGTTAAGATTAAAAAATTATATATGTGTTGGGTGCCCGGGTGGCTCACTCATTAAGTGTCTGCCTTCGGCTCAGGTCATGATCCCAAGGT